GACCCCAATGGTATGAAGCTAGAAATCAACAAGAGGAAAAGGAGAAAATCTACAAATATAGTCATGCGTAACTTAACAGGGACATGTTCTGAGAAAGGCATCGTTAGGTGATGTTGTCATTGTGCAAACCTCATAGAGTGTACTTAAAGAAACCTAGATGGTATAGTCCACTACACACCTAGGCTATATGGTACTAAGCTTATGGGACCACCATCGTATATGCGGTCTGTTGTTGACTGAAACATCGTTTTGCAGTGCATGACTATGTGGAAACTACACAGCACACTCCTAAACAACCAATCAGTTAAAGAAGAAATCAAAAGGGAAATAAACAGTATCTTGAAATAAATGAAAATAGAAGTACAACATATCAAATCTTGTGGGATGCAGCAAAAGCAGTTCTGAAAGTTTATAGCAATAAACACATATATTAAGAAATCAGATCTCAAATACACAACCTAATTTTATATCTCAAGGAACTAGAAAAAGAACAAGTTAAGCCTAAAGCTAGCAGAAGAAATGAAATAAAGATCAGAGTGGAAATAAATGAAATACAGACCAGAAAAACAATAGAAAGCATCAATAAACCTAAGAGCTGGCTCTTCAAAAAGAGAAACAAAATTGACAGACCTTTACCCAGACTAAGAAAAAAAGAGAAAAGACGCAAATAAAATTAGAAACCAAAGAGGAGACATTAAAACTGATACCACAGAAATACACAGGATCATAGAGACTGTTATAAACAATTATATGCCAACAAATTACACAACCTAGAAGAAATGGATATGTTTCTAGAAACACACAACCTATCAAGACTGAACCAGGAAGAAATAAAAAATCTGAACAGACCAATAATAAGTAAAGAGATTGAATCAGTAGTCAAAAACTTCCAACACAGAAAGCTCCAGATGGCTTCACTGGTGAAGTCTACCAAACATTTAAAAAAGAATTAACACCAATCCCCCTCAAACTGTTCCAAAATATCGAGAAGAAGGGAACACTTCCAAACTCATTCTATGAGGCCAGCATTACTTTTATACCAAAACCAGATAACAATACTACAAGAGAACTATAGACTAATATCCCTGATGAATATAGATGCAAAAATTCTCAACAAAATGTTAGCAAACCAAATTCAAGAACACATTAAAAGGATTATAAACCATGACTGAGTGGGGTTTATCCTTGGGATGCAAGGATGGTTCAAAATCGTAAATCAATAAATGTAATACATCATACCAATAAAACAAAAGATAAAAATAATATCATTTTAATAGATACAGAAAAAGCATTTGACAAAATACAACATCCTTTCATGATAAAAACCCTTAACAGATTGGGTGTAGAAGGAACATATGTCAACATAATAAAGGCCATATATGACAAACCCATAGCTAACATTATACTCAATGGAGAAAAATTGAAAGCTTTTCCTCTAAGATCAGGAACAAGACAAGGAAGCCCACTCTCACCATTCCTATTCACTACAGTACTGGAATTCTTAGCTAGAGCAATTAGGTAAAACAAAGAAATAAAATGTATCCAAATAAGAAAGGAAGAAGTAAAACTGTTGCTACTTGCTGCTAATAGGATTTTATTTAGAGAAAATCCCAGAGTCATCAGAAAAACTTTTGGAACTAATCAGTAATTTAAGTAAAGTTATGGGATACAAAATAAACATACAGATATCAGTTGCATTCCTTTACACTAATGATGAGACATCTGAAAAAGAAATGAAGAAAACTATCCCATTCACAATAGCATCAAAAACAATAAAATACTAAGGAATAAATTTAACCAAGGAAGTGAAAGATTTATACAATGAAAACTACAAGATTTTGCTGAAAGAAACGGAAGACAAATGAAAAAGACATCTCATGTTCATGGACTGGAAGAATTAATATTATTAAAATGTCCACACTACCTAAAGGCATCTACAGATTCAACATAATCCCCATAAAAATACCAAAAGGCACTCTTCACAGAAATAGAAGAAACAATTGAAAAATTTGTGAGGAACCACAAAAGATCCCAAATAGCCAAAGCAATCCTGAGGAAAAAAAACAAAGCTGGAAGTATCACGCTTCCTGATTTCAAACTATACTACAAAGCCATAGTGATATAAACAGCATGGTACTGGCACAAAAACACACACACAGACCAATGGAACAGAATGGAGAGCCCATAATTAAATCCTGGCATATATGGTCAACTAACATTTGACAAGGGAGCGAAGAATACCCAGCGGGGAAAGTACACTCTTCAACAAATGGTGCTGGGAAAACTGGAGAAACACATGCAGAACAATGAAATTGGACCTCTATCTCACACCACTCACAAAAATGAACTCAAAATGGATCAAAGACTTAAACATAAGACCTGAAATCGTAAAGCTCCTATAAGCAAAGGTAGGGAAGAAGCTCCTCGATATTGGTCTTGGCAATGATTTTTTTGGACAGGACGCCAAAAGCACAAAAAACAAAAGCCAAAATCAATAAATGGGATTACATCAAACTCAAAAGCTTCTGCACAGCAAAAGAAACAATGAACAAAATGAAAAGACAAACCTACACGTAATGGGGGAAAATTTTTGCAAACCATATATTGGATAAGGCGTTAATATCTGACAATATAAAGAACTCATACAACTTAGTAACAAAAAAACTAACAATCCAATTAAAAAAATGGATAGAACTAAATAGACAGTTTTCCAAAAAGGACATCAAAATGGCCAACATGAAAAGATGCTCAACATCACTAATCACCAGGGAAATGCAAATGGAAACCACAATGAGATATCACCTCCCACCTGTCAGGATGGCTATCATCAAGAGACAATATAGGAGCTGGTGAGGATGTGGTGAAAAGGGAACCCTTATACTGTTGGTGAGAATGTAAATTGGTCCAACCACTATGGAAATAATATAGAGGTTCCTCAAAAAATTAAAAATAGATCTACCATATGATCCAGCAATTCTTCTCTTGAGTATATACCCAAAGGAAATGGAAACAGGATTTCAAAGAGATATATGTATGCACTCCCATGTTTATTCCAGCATTATTCACAATAGTCAAGATACAGAAACAACCTAAATGCCCATCAACAAATGAATGGATAAAAAAGATGTGGTACACACACAGAATGGAATATTATTCAGCCATGAGAAAGGATACCCTGCCATCTGTGACAAAAAGGATCTGATATAAGGGAATGACAAATACTGCACGCTATCACTTATATGTGAAATCTAAAAAAGTGAAATTCATGAAAAACAGTAAAATGGTGGTTACGAGGGGAAGAGGGATAGGGAGATAAGATTGATGTTGTTTAAGGGTACAAACTTGGAATGAAGTAGTCAATAAGCCATAGAGATCTAATGCACAGTATAATGAATATAGACAACAATATTGTACTATAATTAGAGATGTTTCTAACAAAGCTACTTGCTAGCTGCATTCAGTACAGTGTTATTTGAGTGAATGGAAGTGATACCCATTCTGTAATCCATGTAATGAAGTGTTAAAAAACACTTGTTATAAACATGTTTCTAAGAAAGCTAAAAAAAAAAAAGGCTAATCCATTGGTGTGTGTGTGGAAGCAGGCAGAGTATTAGCACTTTTTATATATTTATCTACACAAAACTTAAGAATTGACAATTGTGTTTTATAACTTTACATGTATCTATGAATATTGGTTATGTGGGTGTACTTTTTCCTTTATGATTAGGGATATAAAATTTAGAGACCTTTGTGGTTAAGTTGAAGCTCCTCAGCCTCCTGTGACTTGTCTGCTTACCCTTCGTTCTCATTTGCATACTTCAATTTTTATGTACCACCACTACACAGCTAGTCACAATTCTCCATGTATACTGCAGAGTCTTGCTTTCATTCATTTTTATCTTGACCTGAACTGTTCTCTAGAGTTAGGCATTCTTTCCTCCTCCAGGAAGTTATCCCCTCTTCATCACTCCCTTCTCTGTCCCTTCTCTGTCGTGCCCCACCTTCCTCTGTGCCCCCAGAGCACTATGCACATACTATCACCACTGCATTCACCACACTGTATTGAAATGAGTAATTCAGATGTCTACCACCTACCTGTAAGCATACTTTTCTTTACTCAGCTTGGTATCCATATTGGCATCTTACACATAGAAAATACTTCTATTTGAAATGCATTGCAATAAAGCTCTCCTACAACAGAAGTGGATGGATGACAACATAATCCTCTGCTGTAAACTCTCAGATAAGGAAACTATAGCAGTATATTCCTATTTTCAGTTCTCACCTGAGGGTATCAAGACCTGGCATGGATATTTCAGTTTGTCTCCTAACTGAGGGACTTGATGGGTTTTACCACCATTAAACCACTCTTCTCCTAATTAGGACTTTGAGCAACTACAATGCAAATGAGGGTTACACAATTTAATGACCTGAAATCAGAGATAAACAAAAATTTAATAGTTGAAATGGTTGTTGACACAAGAAATACTTACCATGTCAACAGAGCAGTGATTCCTTGGGTCTGTGTGTTGATGAAGATATAAACCTGCTCATCAGAAAACTGCATATGCAAGCAAAAGTTTACATACAATTTCAGGAGATTTACAAATACCTCCAAATCTAAGGACCCTAAATTAAGAACTCTGGAAAACTAACTCAATAAAAGGCCTGGCAGGCTTAGTGTCCAGAGAGCCACTACAATTCCTGCTGGTTATCTTGATAAAATCCCAGAACTCCACTTCAATCCTGGGGAGGCATAAAAAGGAATCTCATTATACGTGGTTAACTTGTTCATTAGTATTCAGAGTATCTTATACCATGAGATAATTCAATCTTGTTGTGCTTAGTTTCTATGTAAACATGAGAAAGGCAAGTAAATTATGTACTAAATACCACATATTCTTATTGTTTCTCATAAATGTTAAATAGAAATGCATTTTTTTTCCAGAGATTACAACAATAAAGCCTTTATTAACAGGCTGTTAAGGAAAATTTCAGTGTTTCCTTAAAAAAGCTGCTTTATTGACTTCAGTGACAAATTTAAGAAAAGTTAACATGTCTTGATATATTCAAAATTATGACTTACATTAACATAATGACAGTTGCACGTGTACAGTTAATATCGCACTCATACTGTACAACAATAAAAGTAATTACCAAGGGGTTCTTCTAAGTTTTAAGATTAAAAACCATAATGCCTTGAACTGAATAGCATGATTACAAACAGGTATTACTTAAAAACAGCAAATGTATATGCTTTATAAACACCTCCCCTTCTTCATTCCAAACTTCTTTACTTCATTAACAATTTGTTTATACTTTTAAAAATGCTTTTATAATTTTTATGGTTAATTGACTTAAAATGAATGCTTAGGTTTTTAAAAAATTTTTAACAGTGGATTAAAAATCAATACAAATGTATTTAATACTGATCAATGTTTGAAATGTCAAAAAGCAAAACAAAACAATCCTCTTAAATATGTATAAATATTTAAATATAGAAAACCTCCATTATTTAATAGTTGAAACAAAGTATATTTAATGGCTGTATTGGAAAGGAGAAAAGGGTGATTTATGCAAGGGAAAGATTTAAAAATGAGACTTTTCAAGCAAACACTGCCTATGGGATAGCCTCATATTTTGATAATTTAAACCTAATTTTACTTATATAAAGAACTATTTTTAAAAAAACACACCCACAAGTAAAAAATTGGTAATTTGTTTACAAAGTGCAATATTTCTGTACAGCAAATTCACCTCAAACAAAGAAACAGAGCATTTGTGGCTTCTTAGCCTTTAAAACTCCCCTGGATTCCATTTAGGTGGTTTACCATTTAGTTGTGATGCCTAATACAAGAAGCTTGGTTGAGCCCCTTAATACCTCCTATTAATTAATTCCAACATAAGAGAATATGAGACCTGGAAAGTAAGCTGTCAACATCTGATTGATGAGGTACAGATTATCTGAATAAAATTTATGACCTGGTATCAGTTAGTAATCCCAACACAAATTATTGCTTTGTAATGAACTCTGTATGGTTTGCATGTCCTTCAATAATTGAAGATTTTTTCTGCTTTTATCTCCAGGTCTTGGTTTGGCAAAGTCCTTCTTATTTGTGGTCCCTGTGTTTCCCGAAGAACGGCTGCTGCTATTTCCTTCTTCATCAAGAGTCTTTTTGGTGGTTCTTAATTCCCTCTTCTGCTTTTCTATCTTCTGTTTCTCCAGCTATACCAAATAACCAAGGCAGGGAAAAAAGGAGAATTTAATGAAAACATTCTCTTCTGACAACCAGTACTTTTAACTGTCATACTAACTAAAATGCAAATGATATATTCTGGGTTTACTTTTTTAAAGTCTTCATAAATCTGCTGTACTAGTGATTAAAATATATAGTGACATACAAATAAGTATACAAGAGTAAACACACCAATTCTGGTGCTGTTTCAGAATAAGGCAGTGTTGCCAAATTGCAGAATAGGGTGAGTGAGAAGCAATGGGGTTTGGGAGAAGGTCTCATGTAGGAGGCAAAAAATCTGAAAGATAGGAAGGATTTTAATAGATGAAGGAGAGGAGAAAGGCATTCTAGAAACTACTTCTGAGCGGGCAAAGCAGGGTACAGATGGATGAAGAGATGTAGTGATAAGGTATTAATACTATGAAAAGGATTTTTTTTTTTGGTGAGGAACATCAGCCCTGAGCTAACATCCGTTGCCAGTCCTCCTCTCTCTGCTGAGGAAGATTGGCCCTGGGCTAACATCCATGCCCATCTTCCTCCACTTTATGTGGGACGCCACCACAGCAAGGGTTGACAAGCGGTGCATCGGTACGCGCCCAGGATCCGAACCTGTGAACCCCAGGCCGCCAAAGCGGAGTGCGCGAACTTAACCACTACGCCACCAGGCCGGCCCCTGAAAAGGATTTTTAATTTTATTGTTCGTTATTAGAATAGTGACATAATTAGAACATTCTAACATTATCTATTAGAATAAACAGATATTATTCACTATTAGAATAATAAATAATTAGAATAATTAATTTTATTTTATTTTTTTTTTAAAGATTTTATTTATTTTATTTTTTCCCCCCAAAGCCCCAGCAGACAGCTGCATGTCACAGCTGCACATCCCTCCAGCTGCTGCATGCGGGACCCGGCCTCAGGATGGACGGAGAAGCGGTGCCTCGATGTGCACCCGGGATCCGAACCCGGGCCACCAGCATTGCAGCGCGCGCACTTAACCACCAAGCCACAGGGCCGGCCCTAGAATAATTAATTTTAAAATAGGGGAGCTTTATTTTTACTTTAGCTGCTGGCTAAAATAAATTGGTGCTGGCACATTAGTGTTCCATTAGAGAGAATAAACTTAAGTGTAATGTTCAAGAAATAAATTAGACCATTAGTCCTACAGGAATCATTGGCTTGTATTTCTTCTTTTTTAAACATGAACTTTAGAAAAAGCAGTTAAAAGCCCAGGTTTTGGAACTGAAAAGACCCAAGTTTGCAACTTAGCTCTGCCATTTACCATTAAGCTAGTATGTCTTTGGGCAAGTTATTTAATTTCACTTGAGGATATGCCCACCTCCCACGAAACTTAGTTCCAGTTTCCTCATCTATAAAATATACTGACTTCATAAGCCTTCCTTGAAAATTAAATAAGATAATATAGTCAAAGCACTAAGTGCCTATCAGTAGCAACAATTAACAACTGTCAGCCAAACCTGTCCTGCTCCCAGTCTTTGCTTCAGTCAGTGGTACCACTAAGCCCTCTCTCCACATGATATCCAGCAACAAGTAGCCCTGATACTTCTATTTCCAAAGCTCAAATTGGTCTACATCTCCTCAGCTACAATCACTGATGACCTGTGATAGAGATAAGCTTAAGTGGCCTGGCTGGTCACTCAGCCTCTCTGCCCTGTCACCATGCCCTTCCCAGCAGTCACAGTAATCTCTTAAATATACAAATCATTACATTTCTCTCCAGATGAAAACCTTGGAGGGTGAGTTCCCACTGCACTTAGTAGATATTACATAAATGACTGTCTAAGTGCCCATCAAGGGATGAAGGGATAAAGAAGACGTGGTATATATACACAATGGAATACTACTCAGCCATAAGAAACGATGAAATCCAGCCATTTGTGACAACATGGATAGACACTGAGGGTATTATGCTAAGCGAAATAAGTCAGAGTGAGAAGGTCAAATACCATATGATCTCACTCATAAGTAGAAGATACAAACAACAACACACACACACATAGAGACAGAGATTGAATTGGTGGTTACCAGAGGGGAAGGGGGCGAAAGGGATGATTAGGCACATATGTGTGGTGATGGATTTAAGTCTTTAGATGGTGAACATGATGAATCTATGCAGAAATAGAAGTATAATGATGTACACCTGAAATTTATATAATGTTATAAACCAATTTACTGCAATAAAAAATAGTTTTATTAATTTAATATAATTAGTAATATAAATATAACTAAAGATTTTTTCACATTTTTGTATCTGACTTATTCTTTTAGAAACTAATTTTAAAAGACTTGGGTAAACTGAGAACCATTTAAATTCATCATGGAAGTTAAAGTTTGTTCATATAAAAATAAGACTATTAAATATATTCAGTATCTGAAAGATGTATCTCAGATGAACAAAATCTACTCTAAGAGACTATAAGATAGTGTCTTCTTTCCTAGCCCACTTAACTCCAATTCTTAATAATTAAGGAACTGAATTAATAAGTGTCTACAGTAAAGAAATATTTCCTGTAGCTCCATATCTATGATACACTTACAATATCATTAATTATGAAGAAAAGGGTTTTCTGTTGTTTTTTTTCTTGTTTTTTAATGATTAGAAAAAGTAAAGGAAACTTGAGTTACCTGGGCTTGATATTTTCGAACTTTAGTTATTTGATTGGCTTTTGCCTCCATTCTTCCCACTAATGCCTCCAGTTCGCACTCTAAGTTGTCTTTCAGTTCAACGGTTGGTGATTCTTGGATGAGCTTCGCAAGCTGCTGGTGATCACTATATACAAAGCAAAAGCAGGGCTTGGTTAAGGTGCCTATCTCTCATGGTTAGGGGCCACTGCTCTGTGCATTAAAAGATGACTCAACTTTTTCAATAGAGCAACAAATTTCCAAATTATCAGTGACAGTTTAAAAGTTCAAGAAAGGCACTGGAGGCAATGCAAAAAGGGTTCTTAATTTCAAAGAGCTAATTATTTATATTTCTACCTTCCCCACAAGAGTATTTTACACATGTAGAAAGTCTAGAGAAGGATCTTGTTCTTCACTCACACCCTAACTTCTCAGTTAAGTTTAGCTAAACTCAATGTATATCAAGCTCCCGAACAGGGAAATAAAACTTAAATGTAAACCCTGGTCTTCGAAACATTTAACAGTATTACAAAGGGAGAGATTTTACCCAGAACTGTTGTATTTGTTAAAGTCCTAGTAACTTGCTCAGTGGTTGATGCAAGGATTGTGCTCAACAAATGTTTGTTGAGCAAATAAAGATAGGATTAATCAAGTCACCAAGAAGTTAAAATGAGGTTTTAGAACTAATTGTAATTAAAAAAACAAAAAGTAAAACTCACAAGCTCATCTGCCCAAATTCATCTTGTAAAGTCTGTAAGACTTCTGACAACTCTTCATTAATGCTGCTAGAGGAGGGAGGCATTACCGACAACTTCTTACTTTTACCACTTCGTGAAGATATTTGCTTTGCCAAAGGAACACTGTTGACTACGCGATCATTGCACAAGGCTTTACTGTGTTGCTTCATTAGATGCAAGACATGCTGAACATTGGCTACCACAGCATGGCTAGGACTGGTGGACTAAAGAAAAATGAAGAGAAGTAATTGAAGCCGCATTCTCTAAATCTGTTTTTACCCCCTAATGTTGGAAAAAGACTCCCCCCAAAAAGCCTCTGATACAAATCTCCTAGTCTAGAGTAAATCAATTACCAAGTCCTATTGATTTAACCTTTGAAATATCCCCAATCCACCTCTTACTCTCCACCCAACTGTCATTCATTTGGTTTATGCACCCATCTCTATTAGTATAGGAAAAACATCCCAACTGGTCTCCCTGCTCCTAGTCTCTTCAGTCTCTAACTCCACACTGCTATCAGTTATCCTCCTAAAATAGTATTCTGATCGTGTTGTTCTTCTATTTGAAATCCTCTGATGTTAAGTCTACTGATGCTAATGTCCAAACTCCTCAGCATAGAAAATAAGGCCCTACATCACTGAGCTGCAACTTATACTCCCTGGCCTCATGTCCCACCATCTCCTTATTTCTCTCCATTATTTGAATAAAACCTATTTGCACATGCCATTTCTTTTCAGTGGCAACTTTTATATTATTCTTTAAAACCCAGTTCAAATATATAATTTTTAAAGACTTCTTTAAAACCTTCAGGTAATTAATTGGTCCATTCTCAGATCACCTATAGCATTTATCACAATATTTTGTAATTGTGTTTGCATGTCTATTTCACTTATTAAATAGTGTATGTACTTCCAGGTGGTAGGGACTGTTACTGTATTCATTTCTCTATCCAAATAGTAGAAAGCACTAAGTTAATATCTGTCACATAAACAACAACAGGAAAAATCTAATAGCTTTCTCAAAATCTTTGTTTTGAACACTAAACAATAATCTAAATGTGCTATTTCAATTTACAAACAGATGGCTGGGCTAACTTGGCTCCATAAGCATCATCTTAAACAGCTTATTTAAAAATGCAGATTCCTAGACCCCACTCCAAACTCAATCAGTGTGGGGTCAGGGCTTGGAAATGTATATTTTTAAGTCTGCCAGTTGATTCTGATCAGCCAGGTTTGAAAACCACTGGGCTAACCTAAATAGGTGCTCTTTTTATCCTATATTTGTTAGGTAGCAAACTGAATCCAGCAACATATACAAAGAAATATACACAACATCCAAGTGGGTTTTATTCTATGAATGCAAAGCTTGTTCAATATTTGAAAATCAACATAATCCAGCAGATCAACAGGGTAAAAAAGATAAATCACATAACCATATCATCTGATGAAGAAAACATTTGAAAAAAAAAATCCAACACTCATTTAGAGTATAAACTCTCAGCAAAGTAGGAACAGAGGGAAATTTCTTCAAGCTGATAAAGAGTATTGACAAAAAACCTATAGCTAATGTCATACTTATTGGTGAAAGACTGAATGCTTTCCCTTTAAGATCAGAAAAAGGCAAGGATGTCCACTCTCATCTCTCTTACTTAACATAATACTGGGAATCCTAGCCAGTGCAGTAGGGGAAGAAAGGAAATAAAAGGGATACAAATTAAAAAGGAAGAAATAAAACTGTCCCTATTTACAGATGACATGGTTCTCTACATAGAAAATCTTAAGCAATCAAAAAAATAATTCCTAGGACTAATAAGTGAATTCAGCAAGGTCACAGGAGGTAAAATCAACATACAAAAAACAAATATACAAGCAATATCATGTAGAAACTGAAATTAAAACTAAATACAACTTACAATTGTTCAAAAAAATATTTGAGTGTAAGTCTAATAAAACAGGTATGAGACCAATATGCTGAAAACCACAGAACACTGATGAAAGATCTAAATAAATAAGAGATATACCCTACTCATGGGCTGGAAGACTCAACATAACAAGGATGTCAATTCTCCCCAAACTGATCTATAGGTTTAATACAATTCCTATCAAAATTCCAGGAAGATCTTTTTTTATAGAGACAAATTTATTCTAAGATTCGTATGAAGAGGCAAAGGAACTAGAAGAGCTAAAACAAGTTTTGAAAGGAAGAATAAAAAGTAGGCAGAATCACTATCCCTGATGTTAAGTCTTACTATATAAAGCTACAGTAATAAACGCAGTGTGGTGTTTGTGAAGAGGTTAACACATATATCAATGGAACAGAATAAAAAATGAAATTTGACCTAATAAGCTTCATACTGTATCCAAAAATTATTTCAAGTGGATCACAGATTTAAATATAAAATATAAAACTATAAAACATGGAATGAAAACATAAATGAAAATCTACAGGATGTAGGTCTAGGAAAAAGAGTTCTTAGACCTGACACCAAAAGCATGATCCATAGAAGCAAATAAATCAATTAACTGGGTTTTGTCAAAATGAAAAGCTTCTGCTCTGTGAAAGAGTTTAAGAGGATGAAAAGAGAAGCTACTGAGTGGAAGGACATATTCCCAAACCACTTATCTGATACACAAGTTGTATCTAAAATATATGAAGAACTCTCAAAACCTAACAGTAAAACAAAAAAAATCCAATTAAAAAAAGGGCAAGAAATATAAATAGTCATTTCACTAGAGGATATATAGATGGCAAATAAACATATGAAAATAAGTTCAGATATCATTAGTCATTAGGGTAATATAAATTAAAACCACAGTGAGATATCATAACACACCTATCAGAACAGCTAAAATAAAAAGTGACAATACTAAATGCTAGTGAGGATTTAGAGAAAAACTGCACCTCTCATACATTGCTACTGGGAATGTAAAACGGTATACACAGCCACTCAAAAATAGTTGGGTAGTTTCTTTAAACACTAAACATACACTTACCATACAACCCTGCAATCACACTTCTGGACATTTATCCTAGAGAAATGAAAACTTATGTCCATACAAAAACCTGTACATGCATGTTCATACTGGTTTTATTTGTAAATGCCAAAAACTGGAAACAACCCAAATGTCCCTCAATGGGTGAACGGTTAAACAAACTGTTGTACATTCACACCAGGGAATACTACTCAGCAACAGAAAGGAAAGAACTATGGATATACACAACAATTTGTTGGATATCAAGGGAATTATGCTAACTGAAAAAGCCAACTTCAAAAGGTCATATACTGCATGATTCCATGTATGTAACATTTTTGAAAAGGCAAAATTATATACATAGTGTGGTGGTGGTTACACAAATCTACATGTGATAAAACTGCACTGACCCATACCAATGCGCAAGCACGTGCGCGCACGCACACACACACAGAGGAATACATGTAAAACTAGAGAAATCTGAATAAGGTCTGTGATTTGCACCAATGTTACTCTCCTGGTTTTGCTATAGTAGTATAGTTATGTGATATGCTACTATTGGGGTAAACTGGCTGAAGGGTACATGGGGCCTGTCTGTACTATTTTTGTAATTCCTATGAATCTATAATCATTTCAAAATAAAAAAGTTAATCCATGTTTATCAAGATAATTTAAATTCAACCATAATTAAATGATTTAGACATACACTCTTCTTTGCAAGTACGCTGTCATCAATACAACTTGTTTATCAAGAACCAAATTCATCTGTCTCATTAACAACTTTAAATGCTCATATACATGATACTCATTTTAAGTGTGAAAATGTGTTGAATATGGGGAATCACTATTTTGCTCATAACTTGTAATATGTATTCACTATACTAATTACCTACAAATACATTTTCAATAAGCATATAGTTTGAAATTCTTCTTCCTGTTATTTTGCTGATTGTATTTATTAATGTAGTTTTGTATCTGTTGAATCTAGTAATAAAAAAACTGGGACTTGTATTTTATGTCTTTTTAATTTCATTTTTCTAGTAATTCATTTTTATTACCTTTTACAAATGTACTGATCTATGACAACGTATAATTAAAAATAAACATTGGCCCTTCACAATATATAGTTTGAGAAACATTCAGCTAGGTGACAGCACATTCTTAGCTGTTTGAATAATATTGCACAAAGAGTACAAGTAACTTCAAAAGGAGAGCTCAGGGGCTGGCCCCGTGGCTTAGCGGTTGAGTGCAGACGCTCCGCTGCTGGCGGCCCAGGTTCGGATCCCGGGCGCGCACCGACCCACCGCTTCTCTGGCCATGCTGACGCCGTGTCCCACATATAGCAACTAGAAGGATGTGCAACTATGACATACAACTATCTACTGGGGGGCTTTGGGGGAAAAAAAGGAGGAGGACTGGCAATGGATGTTAGCTCAGAGCCGTTCCTCAGCAAAAAGAGGAGGATTAGCATGGATGTTAGCTCAGGGCTGACCTTCCTCACAATAAAAAAAAAAAAAAAAGGAAAAAAAAAGGAGAGCTCAGGCTGAAAAGCCCTGTCTTTGAACCTGTCCTGTTTAACCTCTGGATTAACAACTTTAGTGAGAATTACCAAAGATAGGCAATTAATTTGGGGATTAATAGGCAATTAATTTAGGGATAACAAGAACATAATGGAAGACTAAACTAGATCCTAAACTAATGTGGGCCAGGGTGAATCTATTCCTATAGAGCTCCATTTGATTAAAAATTCTGTATAAAAAATCAGCTCGACAATTATAGGACCTACAGAGGCTGATGCAAAGATTCAGGACAAGGCCTGTTACTTCAGTTGACTCTAGAATTAATGAGTGAAAGGGATGATGTAGCTTCCCCTATAACAGTAATGTGAGGCTAGGCTGAGTTAACAGACGATCTAGAACATGACAAAGACTCTATTTTGTGCTAGTCATACCACATTTAGAGGGCTATATTCAATTTAGGAAGGAAGAGAGTGATGAGGTGTTAAAGAAACTCATAAAGCACATCCTCTGATGAATAGCTGAAGGAAAAAAAAGAAAGTATTTATTTATAACCTAGAATAGAATAAGAAGATGAGAATAAAGATAAAGCTATCTTCAAAAGTTTTGAAATTTTCCTATAGTCAAGGGTTCATTTATTCTACATGGATCCCTGAGAGCAGAAAAATACCAATGAGTAGAATTTATACAGTGACAGATTTCTACTCACTTAAGAACTTTCAAATAAAGCTGTCTAGAAATGCAATGGGCGGTTTGAGGTATAATGAGATCTCATCAATAGATGTATTTGAACAGAATACACACCATTACTCAAGGTTTATATAATGAAAACAATGGACAGGGAACTGTACTAAGTGGGTCCCAAATCTAACTAGACATTAGAGTGGTACCAGGGAACAGTTAAAAATACTTTGTAGGCCCCACACCCAGAAAATTCTGATTTAACAGGATTGTGGTGGGGCTTCGTAATCTACTTTTCCAAATGCATACTACTCAGGGATTCTGATGCTGCTGCTCATCCCTTGAGAACCTCTGTTTCCAACCCAACTCAGAGAGTCTGTGGTGAAGCAAAAAAAGCTTGGTAGGAGTAAGAAACAAAGGAAGTAACATAGGTCAAAAGATGGTCTGCAATCCAACAAGAGGTTAAATTTAGGGTAAAGCACAGCAAAGAGCCAATGGCAATGCTTTTTTCTTTTTTTAAAAAAATGATTTGTGCTTCATACATCTACAAAGGGCAAGTGGAAAAGCTAGGAAATAGTTCATTCCCCAAGCTTTCACTGAGGATTTACTGTGGGGTTAAAATAAATAAATAAATATAAAATAAATAAATAAATATAAACAAACAAACAAATTAAAATTTACTCCCCAAGCATCTCAAACTCACAACCTAGTTGGATATTTAAGGCATCTACACACAACACAAACAGTTAATGAAAAAGTGGTACAAACTAACACAGTGTTAAGCATTTATTAGAAATCTCTCAGTACTTGCTGATATCTGACAAAATTATCATCTCTACATTTAAGCACTAAGGGAACATAAGATTCAAGTCTATGTATGACTGTTTCTTGGATGATGATGAGTCCTGTAAGTAATATGGATGTAAGGACAAAGAGAATATGATTTCTATTTATTTAAGTATCTTGTCTGTATCTAAATATAAAATCAACAGAGTTGATACTAAAAAGCTAATGCTAAAAAACTAATGCTACAAATATGTAAGTAATATATATTTATTATATATAATAAATTGTAAGTTATATTTTTATACATAATATATAACAAATATATAACTAATGCTACAAACATATAACAAATATCTAACTAAAAATCTAATGCTACAAATGTACTATTTCCTTGACCCCTATCTGCAACCACACCTTCTCCAAACCAGGATCTCTGTTTTTGTTCATAACTTCCCTTCCACATATACTTTAAACTTGCTTTCAAGTGTCCCACTAGTCTCCTCCCTGCTCCCCAATCCCATAAAACCTTCTTCCATCTCATTCTCCTATCACTATGATCCACACTGGTAAAGGGAACAGAAAAATGTTCCACCATTTACAGGCATACAGGCAAACAACTGAACTTAATTCAAAGATCTAAGATGTACAAAAAAATTCAGAGTTCAACCTACTCACCTTTCCAGCTACAAATGGCATATCACCCAAGCATAATCTATAATGCGGTTGAGCAGCAAAATAGTTCCTAGAACCTTTCTGAATGCAAAGGAAAGAAAAACAATTTTACAACAAAAGCTACTGTACATAATTAACCTGAAACTTCAGTTTACTGCTGGGCTACTACTTGCCTTATCTATATTGGCACTATATGGTCGTGAGCTCCTAATAATACCTGTCAACATGCATTCTAGCCTATGAAAGGCTTGGAAAGAAAAACTGGTACCTGACAAAACAGGAATTACAGCCTACGTAGAGAAATAGTTTGTGTGTGTGTAGAGATACACACACACATACATAAAAACATTTTAAGAGCAAAAGGTAATTAATGCAATATTGAATAACAACTACTAATATTTGTGCAGTGTTTTATAGTTCTAAAATGCTTTCATATTATCTCACTATCAGGGTAAAAAGTTAGAAACAGATGTTACTTATCCCCACCTTCCCAATAAAGAAACTGAGAACCAAAGAGATTTACTCATCCAAGGTTATAGTACCACAAGATTTATGAGTGTTTTCACACAAATTATGCCAAGTAATAATAATCAGCACTTTGGCTTACTGGTTTTGTTTTCATACCTTTTCTGGTGGTTTTGATTTCTTCTTTTTAATTCTTCTCGCACTGGGAACACATGAAGTTGCCTTATCTTCAAAGATAAGTCTATTTGCCTCTAGACCAGTCTGCAACTAGGAAAAATATAAGAGCCTAAAGTTAATGATGTAAAAATAAAAGCTATGATTCACATTCGAGATGTGCCATGTAAAGGCCTGTAAAAATCTATAGTAGTATCTGACTGAAAAACACACCATCACTGTATAACTGTGTCTTGAACTAATCTGTCAACATTTGTCAAATATTTTAAATCAATACCAGTCTCTCCTTTTATCTTGAAGTGCTGTGTTATAATTTATCCTTTCTTTAGCCTGGAACTCTTTAGCTCCATTATTTGTAGTTGCTCCATAAATTATATCTAATGAGTTAAATGCAATATATCTAACTCCAAACTGATGCTTCAAGATTTCCCTTTTTTCACACGTGGCATCTACAACAGTGCCAGACACAAAGCAGCTGGAGAGCGAAACACATTTCTTCCTCTTTTATAAACTCATACATTTACAATATAAGAAAAAGGAATTGGAAATTTATTTCCAAAAGAACTGTAAGGTATGTGAGCAAATGATATCAAGCCCATTTCTCTAGAAGCTTAGTAACTCCATTAATTTAAAAATAATTTCCTACCCAAATGGTATAAATTCCACAAGCAATTACCAAGGACTTCAAAAAACGACTACTGTTTTCCTTAAACCAACTTTCAACTTTGCTTAAAACACACACAAACATGTGTGTGTATGTGTATGTGACTAGAATAGTGGTTTTCAAACCTGCCTATGTATTGTCTGGAGTTTAACAGAAAAATTCAGATTGTCAGGCTCCTCTCTCCAGACCTCATGATTTTGAACCTTCCAGGTTGGGGAAGTGGGTATTTTAAAAGTATTTTAAAGTTCTCCAGGAACTTATTATGGGGCTCAACAAACACTCAGAACCAATGGATTAGTTAAAAGAAATATAGAGATCATTACTAATTCTTCCCACAACGACTGCATTCTTGGGGGACAGAATCTATTCAGGGACAAAGGAATGTAGGGGTCTCTACCCTCAGGAGCATCTACATTCCCATACATCTATCAAAGCTTTATACAGAATAAACTGAATAGATATAATTCAATGAGCAGGAAATTACTACTCTAGAAGACTTATAAAGTCAATGAGTATGAATAGTACACAAAAGAACATTTTTTTGAATATTTTTTTTCTTCCCAATACTTATCATATATTTGTGTAGCAGAGTTTTAACATTTTAAAGTACTTTCATTATCCTTCCCATGTTTGATCCCTCCAACCCCAAAGAAGATACAAAATGAAGACCACTTTATCAATGATAAAATCCAAGCTTTCACTGGTTAAATAACTTGCCCAAGGCTACACAAGTTAGGGTTAGCTTGACTTGGAACCACATATCATCCCTGGCCATCCTTCTTCCACTACAATAGTGTTCATTATCAGAACCCAAAACCTTTACTGATATTCTATTACCAGTAATAACTGATTTGGTCTCTATTTTTTACCTGCTAAATAAAAAAGCAAAAATACCATAAAATAACTTTTTAAATTCATAAAATAATGAACTTGTTTAATTTTGTATTTCATGTAAAATAGAACTCACTCCCACAATATGTATAAAGCACAACCCCTAAGTTTGCATGTTACAAGTGAGGAAATGGAGACACAGTAAAGTGGCCTACACTAAAGTGGAAAAGGCAGAGAAACCAAGTAATTTCAATATTTGTTGGTGGTCAAAAATAAAGTCACGTGACTATGTAACTCTCAAAGTACACTGAGGAAAAAAAGATTAATAAGAAGGTAAATATTGGGGAAAGAAAATATATCAGGTTTAACAGAAAGAGAAATGTGAAGCCACTGAATTCTGGGAAGCACTGGAAGAAATTGACAAGATAACAAAGATGAGATGATAGAACGTTTACAGTCCTGTGAACACACGTATAACGTGGTACTGCCGGCATCTGGCCTCAGCCTGAACTGCAGAGCCTCCACTTCTAATTATTTTGGAATCAGGACCTGCTTCTTATGTTAATATTATAATGAAAAAAGATACATGCAAATGTTATAAGACTCAAAGACTTTGGAAGGGGGAGGGTAACATATGGGAGGTATTTGAATAAATAAGCTCGTAAGGGGAGAGTCTTCAATTATAAACAGAAGTATTTTACTAAGCCTATAAGTAAGACTTACTGGGTACAGACATATGGCTATATCTTCCAGAAATGCAGTTCTGATTAGTACACATAAACTCAATATTTTTATGAATTCACAGTGCCTCATCTATTCTACCTGGTGGCCAATGCATGGAATAAAATCCAAGACTAGGAGTGAATAGATCTTCTGTGAATTAGCATGGATCACCAGCTATCGGGGCAGACCACCACCTTAACTTCTGTCCTGGTGTCTTGAGGCCACCACGGATAAGGAACACTTGTAAGTAGGATATTGAACAATGGCTTGCAAACATTTCTGACAGTGACCCTGTGAGAAGTTTTACATGATTATGTATTACCTTGTTATGTATACAGTCTCTGATATTTTATAGTCTACTGATTTTTTTATTTGCTGTTTGAAACCCCACAATTTGAAAAACTCTGAAGAAGTGCTCAGCTTTTACTCTCAGCCTGTAAAAATACGTTTATAATTTTCCATATTAAGGTACATCTGAGAATTTATGTATTGGACCATTCCAAATTATAAATAATCTAAGAAGCCCACAGTTAATCATCTGTTCATGTATAAAGAGCAATATGAAATATGAAGAGTCTACCTGCTCACATTTCAACTTACCTGGGCTGCCTTAGCTTGCATACGTTTCCTTTCCTGTTCTTCTTCACCGAGTTTTGCTTCCAACTCTTCCATTTTTTTCTATTGATAAAAATATTAAAAGCGGTAATAGTGAAAAATGTCTTGGATCTATTTGTAAAATTTTAATATAGCAACACAGGAACGTGTTGTAAAATTTTAGCATAGTAAATATAAGCTTCTTAGTTCACTCTAGTAAAGGCTCTGGGCTTGGGCTTGTCAGTATCCATGACACTCTTCTTTGTGCATCATTATTAGTCATTTGTGAGGTAGGCTCTAAGGTAGGTGAATAGAATTATGGGTAAAATCTATGACCAAAGAACAGAGTTCTGTATGAAGGCATATAGGCTACATGGAAGTTGAATGCAGAACTTTAGTCTCAATGGTATTAAATACTTCCCAAGTGAATCAATTAAAACTAAAATTAGTACAGAGAACAACTTAAGTTAACCAAGTGATACAAGCCTTAGGAATACTCAAAACCATTTAATCTGTCAACATTTTCAGAAAGAACTCGTTCCTCATGTCCATCAAGATTGTAAACTGTGAACATTCTCTCCAAATTCACATTTCTTGCTTTTAAAAATTCCTATATATTTCTTTGCTATGACTTTTCTTCCCATAAATATCCAATATTATAAAATGATGAATTTTACAAAAAACACGATATTATGCATTAATGAGTAAAAGAGACATTCACTGACTTCTGCAAGGGCCTGCATTGTGGTAAGTTTGTTATACTCCTGTTCAAGAAGATCCAATTTCTCAAGTTGGCTCTGAACATGTGTTTGATCATGTTGTCGTTCTCTTTCTAGGGAAACCTAGGAAACAATATTCAATACACCATAACAATCTGACAAAAAATCGAAAACAACTAACACTGAGTGAAACTTACGAATATACTGTATGCTATTTATTTGACCTTTCATAGAATTATTTAGATACTGCAGAGAAATTCTAGGAAAATAATATTAAGATGAAACCACAGGAACATCAATCAATACAAATGGAATCCTGTTCTTACTCTATACCATTATATCATTTGGTTCTGTATAGTGAGACTATCATTACACTCCAGGATAACAGGGATTTACTAGATATATAGGCTACACACACACACACAAATACTTTCAATTAGTCTGGTTCTCTTACATAGTTAATCTCTTAATTAAGGTAATAATTATGGTTTTGGTATCCACCATTTACACTTCCTCTGAATTCTATGCATAACATCCATTATTATTTTTTTTTTAGGGTTAGGGTCAAGGATTTGAAAAGACTGTCTCCTATCAGATTTAAGGACTGACAGTCACAGGGTAAACAATTAAACTAGAATAAGAAGTGGAAGCATGCTAAAATGTGGTCTACTGGTAAAAATCCAAAACACTAAGTACTGAACTTGTAAACAGTGTATCTTTATATACAAGTCTATAGCAATAGGTATCATTGATTGTTAGTGCCACTGAGTCGAATCCAACCCCTAGCAACTCTGTGTACAGCAGAGTGGAACCCTGACGAGTCTTTTTGTGTCATCCTCTCACCTTCTGGCACTACATCAGACAATGCTCTGCTGCTATTCATAGGGTTTTCATGGCCAATTTTTTCAGAAGTGGGTGGCCAGGTCCTTCTTCCTAGGCTGTCTTAGTCTGGAAGCTCCAATGAAGCCTGTCCACCATGGGTGACCCTGCTGGTATCTGAAATACCAGGGGCATAACTTTCAGCAACAGAGCAACACACAGCCACCACACGACAACCGATAAGACAGTGGTATGGTTCCCTGACCAGGAAATGAAGCCGGGCTGCTGCGGTGAGAGTGCTGAATCTTAACCATTAGACCACCAGGGATGGCAACAGGTATCACAGAAATTTGAATATAAAAAAGTAATATAAAACAGGACCGGCCCGGCGGCGTAGCAGTTAAGTTTGCGCATTTGGCTTTGGCAGCCCAGGGATCGCTGGTTCGGATCCTGGGCGCAGACCTACTCACCACTCATCAAGCCATGCTGAGGTGGCATCCTATATAGAAGAGCTACAACTCTTCAACTATGACACACAACTATGTACTGGGGCTTTGGGGAGAAAAAAGAAAAAAAAGAGGAAGATTGGCAAGAGATGTTAGTGCAGGGCCAATCCTCCCCGCCAAAAAAGTGATATAAAACAATTTTCTCAGAAATTTGTGTGAACTACTAATTCCCTCCTATTCACTTCAGTGGACAGTTACTGCTCTTAAAGAATACATTAAGTTAAAAACTGGCACAAATCGTATTTTATTTCCAGTTACTGAAACTATTCTTATTAAATGGGCTATTTAAAATTTCCCAATAAAACAGGGCTATAATTCAAAGACATCTATTACATATATCTAACAGATATATTAGTCAAGACATCTTACTGTTGTCTTATAGATGCTTTCTAACCCGAGAACTGAAATATCCCAATGAAGAGAATTATTATATTACTGTGTATAATGTTTTGCCACTTCCAATCACATGGCAGACTGAACTGATCACCCCCTTCCCACCCCATCTAGCACATAAAATTGTTATACAAAACACAGCAATAATAATAAATTATTACATAGCAAGTTTGAAAGAAAGAAAGAGAAATCAGCAGAGGCAAAAAAAGATAAAGGAACTCAAAACCTCACTTAAGTGAAAGGATACTGAAGCCAAATATCACATGAGGCAGTACTCGAGCCTTGGTGACTAAGATATACCAGGAACATGACATAAAATCTCAGGCATTATACTATCTGCATGATGCAAGAACCCCAAGCTAAGAACATAAATCTGGACCAGAAACAGTGAAACCTACCAAGGCTCAGCAAAGGCAAATCCACAACTGCCTCATAAGGCTGCCCACACTAAACTTAGGAAGTATGTAATTCCCAGGATAAACAACTCTAAAGAGTATGTGTTCACCACAAGGAAAAAAAACACAAACCATAAAGGAGAATCAGCAGATGGAACAAATGAGAAGACTGATACTCTGAAAACATCAGCTAATTTAAAAGAAATTGAGAATTGTTTATAGTGTTCAAGAGATAAAAGAAAGCAATAAAAACCAAAGTAATGGTACATTAAAATGACAAAAATAGGTTGACTGAAGAAGACGCAGTTGGAAACAAAAAAATATGGTCACTGAAATAAACTCAATGGCAGAGTAAAGAGACACATGAGAATTAATTACTGAAACATCCTCTCAAATACTGTCATGCAATTATTCAAATATTTCCTTTAAGACTAGTATCTCCAAGTTTGACTGAAAGCTGACTGAAGGTAGGAAGTATATAATTTCTCTCTCACACTGCTGAGCATCTAGCAAAATGTTAAGCATACAAACATTCGAATTTTGCATAATAAAGTTAAGATGCCCTGAAATTGTGGTATTCATGATGAATTCAAATTCTAGATTCATAATAGGAAAAAGAAGTATGTTTTAAAAAATATATTCCAGATTGATGTTGCAGATGTGTTCTCACAAGTGTGGAGGTTGCTTAAATAAAAATACCTCCAGTGTGACACAGTAAAATACTTTTGTTAAAATAACAATTCTAAAGAGTTTTTCAAACTATAAAGAACTTTGAAATCTGCTACCTCACTTGAGCCTTTAAACAAATTCAAGAGCTAGAGAGGTACGTATTATGATTTAGACTTTTTATAATGTAGACTCAAAGAAGTTAACATGACTTGAAAAGATCACACAATTAACTGTATAGTATTTTTCCAATTTAAGTAAAACTCTACCAAATACAGCAACAACAATGAAGGCCAATCAAACCTTCAGACACCATAAATAATCCCAAGTAATTTCAGTCTCGGGCTGTGATATTGTTCAAAAGCAGAAGCCATCAAAGCTGCGTGCAGAGGATGTGGCAGTGTGTGTGAGACAGTCATCTAGAAAGGAAACCTCTGTTTACAGCTATGCTGAAAACACAAATCACATTTTTCTCAAAGCTTACACTAGCAGTTTTTCAAAGGGAACTGCTGGTACTATTAGCAGTGATCATGTTAAGATAAAAGGAGAAATTATTATAAGAGCACCATTAGTCCTCACTGAGAAAAAAAGGTGTTAATATCAATGGAATTTTCCCCATGACTAACCGTTCTTGAGAATGAATCTATAAGGTGCCATACCTGTTTCTCTAAGACTGATGTCCTTTCCATTTCTGCATGCTTTATCATATTACGCATGTATTCCAATTGCTTTTCTAAAAGATTACATTTATTTTCTGCAGCTAACAACTGAGATGTCAGTTCTAAAAAGAATACACAAGAAAAGCAGAAATTAGCTCACTCACAGAACAGTTTTAACAAGCTGTTTAACAGGAATTTAATCTACAGTGTAGGCAACAAACACTTTCCAGCAGGCCTATAAGCATTTTCAGATAACCTAAGTCATTCTCCTTCTATATGCTACTACAATCTGCCTCGAATTCAGTCAGTAAATATAATGCATGACATCAGCACTTGCTCCTCAAAATGCACCCAAGTATATGCAATTTTGTAGTGCTTGAAGACAGCGACCACTAGAAAACATTAACATGGAATTTCTCTTAATTTTACAATACTTATTTTGATAGCGTTTCATTTCTTCCATAATTAGACAAACCTTGATTGTGCTTTGATTCCTCATTCTTCGAATTCTCCCTTTCTTGTATCTGTTCATCCAATACTTTCTTATATTCAATTGTTTCTCTAGACAAGGTTTTCACACTTTCTTCTGCTTGAATCCTTTCAAGTTCTAAGCGTCGAATTTTATCTTGCAGATTCTTCAGAGCAGAAAATATGGCTGCCAAACACAAACATGGATACAGTAAGATAATATATATGGAGAAGGTTCACTGAAAAAGAATAAACTCATCTAAATAAAAAATAAAATTGATGGGTGAGTCCAGTGGAGGATCACTCTTTGGGAACGATAAAATGTTAATTATTATCTCAAGATAATTGTTTTTTAAAAAACTTAAAGACATCTTTTGAGTCTTTGTAATGTGCTAGGTACTCAAGTAAAAAAACACCTTATTATGGTAAAAACATTTCTAAGATTTTATAAAATGGTAAAAATATTTAGCTTATCATACAAAATTAATATAACTGCCCCAAAGTACATTATTAACCCTCAATCTTTTTCTGTTCTATGAGAACTTAACATAACAATCTCTATAATCATCTACCATATTCTCCTTATTTCTAATTTTGTGAACAATATATTTATGTTCTTTCTTTAGAATCTTACCATTTCCTTAAAATCTTTCTTAGAAGTTCCTTAGAATCTGTAGCGGTTTTTTTTCTAAACAAAACACAGGCCAAACATTAGTTCTTTCTCCCACTTTCGATAGTCCTACTGGTTCTCTCTAACAAATTTTAATTATTGTTTAGTAATTTTCATTTTTATCTTGCTCAATAATGAAAGTATTTAAGATTATATTAATTTTCTTCCAAATACTGCAATCCGTAAGTTTAAATATGTAATGCTTCACTGTTTTCTTTTGCAAGAAAATCAATGAATAAATACACATTAAGCAGAATTTAGAAAAAACAGGAATGAAAAGGAAAAACATGACACCCATAATCCTACCATCTTGGTGTAATAAACATTTTGTTGAAATGTTTATTGATTTTTCTATGCTTTTCTATGTTAGTGGGATTACTTTTACTATTTCTTATCACACATTCATATACAATCATGTGCCACATAATGACATTTCTGTCAATGACGGACTGCATATACAATGGTGGTCCCATAAGATTAGTACCATATAGCCTAGGTGTGTAGTAGGTTATACCATCTAGATCTATCTAAGTACTTAGGGAAGGACGAAATTTTCCTCTACCCTTCTAGGTTCTGTCTGGTCTAAGAATTAAATTGACATGGAACAGATTAACAGGAGAAAAACAAACAAAAGTTTTACAACATGTATACATGGGAGAAACCCAGAAAAACCAAGTAACTCACCAAAATAGCCAAAGCCCTCACCTTAAATACCATCCTCAGCTAAGGACAAAAGATGATGTTGGGGTTCAAAGAGAAGGAAGCAATTCACAAGTAGGGGAAAGTGAGCAAAGTTTTGGAAAACAAGTGTTTGGCCACACAGAAACAGAAGAACACACAGGGGAGCCCAACAAACAGGCTTCTCTAGATTCCTCCCTGTCTACCACTTAGTTCGTGTTATGCTAAGGTGACAGCTCACTTCCTGAGACAGGTTTATTTATCTGAATTCTTTTAGGCAGTTAAGGCGGAGGCAACAAGAAAAACTTTCTGAGCCTTTTGTTTCTTAAAAACAATCAGCCTAAAACAATTCTCATGATAAAGAGACACATGTTGGGGTGGCAAATTTCGTTTGCCTTGAGTACACTCCATGATGTTTGCACAAGGATGAAACTGCCTAACGATGAATTTCTCAGAATATTTCCTTGTTGTTAAGTGACTCATGATCGTATAGGTACTTCTCCACGTCAACAGATATATTTCTAGAATTCCATCCTAATAGGGCATTTATATATACTTGCGTCTCTGAACTTTCTGTTACACTAACGTCTGGCTCTACCAGTTCCCATATTTCCTGTTTTTATAGCTCTATAATCTGTTATTAGTTGACATGATGAGGCCATCCTTTATATAGAGTGAACCCTTCTATTAAAAGAAAAAATGCAGTTCTCACACACAGCTCTTTAAATGCAATTCACAAGAGTAAGCGTTTCCACTAACACTGTACAGCTCTCTCTATTTAAGTTTTCATACATGCACCTCAGTGAGGACACAGAACAGGCCTAGGTTCATTTATCAGAGATGACTTTTCTACTCACAGCCTCTCTCCCAGGCCACGGGGGCTGAGTTGTTCTAGTTCCCTTTCTCCAATTAGTGTCATCACTCAGTTTTCCAAAGGAAGCGCGATTCCAGAAGCTACCTCACATGGGCCTAACGCTTGGTTCTCCAGTCCCTACCTAGATTTAAAATCCTAACTTTTCTCCTACTATACCCCAATACCTAAGGCTTATATCTAATACCAAGACTCCTAATGGTGTCCCTGAGGCTTTTGGCTTTAGTTCCCTTACTGCTTTGGCTTTAAATTCATTTTATTTCTGGTACTGGGTATTCCTTTTTCTAGCTTTTAAGCTATGTATTATTTGCTGCTATTATTATATGAAACTGCTGATATTTGTCTACGCTACTATTCAGTCTGATAGTAATATTGCCATCCATCCTTTTTATGTTATGTTCCTAAGATGTCTTTGCCCAGCTTTTATTTTTAACCTGTCATTTTGTTTCACATTGGGCTTAAAAAGCATTTATTGACTTTTCTTTTGAGTTAACATAATCACATTTGTCATCATACCTGACAAATGTCATCCTATTTTTTTCATTGTATTTTGTGCTTTCTAATTTTGTTTCCTTGACTGTTTCTTTATTATATTTTACTACATGAAGTACAGCCTCTTTGGAACTGTTTGCCTGGCTTATACACCTCCTTTCCTGGGCACTTCTCCTTAACTCAACATGGCTATTCTATATCTTATGTGTCCCTTTAGTGCCCTCTCACAAATCTGGCCACAGCTGACTGACCCACAGTGGGCACCCAACTAAAGCCCAGACAAAACTCTCTTCTTGGGATTTTTGGACTTTTGTCCAAAAAGCTGAAGCCAGAATTAGTTCAACTTAAAGCCAAGCCGTTAGTAGCCATGTTTCCTGACATGTGGAAAAAGCCTGACTGTGGCTGAAGAGAATGAAGCTAGCTAGGAGGAGAAAGAAAAGAGATGGAGAGAAAGTGCTGGTCATGTTTGAATCCCTGGTTCCTAATGTGCTTAAAGTCTCCCTGTATAACTGCCTTCCTATTCTTGGTTGTTCAATCCTCCCTTGCATGTGCGTAAACCAAAAAGATCTCTCTTTGCCAAAGCAAGTTCAGATTGGGAGTTTCTATCACTCATAGCTAAGTTTCTATTAACTGTACTTTGTTTTTTAAGTTTTTATTAAATAAATCTAGTATCATAAAGATACCATATGACTTTACGCTACCAATGGCTATTTAAAAAGATATGAACACATAATGTACTTATGCACACATACATCCCAGAAGGCATGCTCTATGTCAAAAATGAAATTTTACACAAAAGTTCATATAAGAAATATTGCAAACTTCATATCCTCATTTTCTAGTTTTTTAATTGGAGATTTTTGGATCCAGATGATTAAGCAATTTACATTATATAATATCTTCATTTCAAGAGTTATATTTGGCATAGGTTTTCAGTTTTATAAATATTTAGTTTTCACACAAACATGTCTGCTTTCTTGAGTTAAAAATATTCTAGGTGACCAAGTTTTTTCCCCCTTGGAAAAGGATGTGAGTGAGCTCTTGGTTTCTTCTCTTCTCTTCTATTGCCCTTATATCTATGAGGTCATGCACCACTGTGCCATTTATGTTCAAGTTACCACATTACCTAGAAAGACCCTTGAGTGAAAAATACTCTATGTAGAAATGAACTATAGAAGATTGGGAGATTTTCAGCTTCATATATTGGGGAGAGATACACTGAAAAATATACTGAAAAATATATTTCTAGAACAAGAAGCAAACTAAATTGTGAAAGATAGAAAGAAGTGCCATACTGAAACATAATAATACTGTACGTATTTATTCTATTTTCAAAAATAGACTTTTCACAGCAAACACTAGATTTAAAATTTTTAATCCTTCATATTACCCACAATATTCCTGAGCATACATGTTCAAAATTAAATACATTTTGGTTAGTTGAGTATGAGAGTGTAAAATGTCTCTGGAAAACCTAGTCAAAAGGAGACACTAAGTTTTCCTTAAACTTTACTTTCATCCCTGAAATTTGAGCTCCTAGGGGGCAAGAGACAACTATTATTCATAATCGAAACTCCAATGCTATGCACTATGTGTGGCACGTAGTTGGCACTCAGATGTTTGAATAAACATATACCTATGAAAGTCTCCATACTAATTTAAAACATCAATTAGAAGACAACTAGCAGACAATTCTAACTCTTTTCCTAGCAAAATTAAACTCATCTTAGTAACTCATCTCTTGCCTAACACAATCAGTGGTTCCCTAACTTTACTGCATTTCTGTACTACTTGGTGAGATTTAAAAAATCCCAACGCCCCGGACATACCCCCACATCAAAAAAATAAAAAAATCCAAAAGAATATTTGGAAGGGCAGGGAATCCAAGAAGATCCTCAGGTGATTCTAGTCTGCAAAGTTTGGAAACTTTCTAGTGATATCTAGAAGGGGCTACAAGAATGGAAGACCTTCTATATACTTTTCAAACCCAGTCTGCCATTCATTGAGAAGAGTACAGTATTTCGGGTACAGCAAGCCTAGCAGATCTCAGTACTAACTCATTAATAACAAAGTTGGGTCTATTTGTTTGGAATATTTCTATCATTAATATATCAGCACAGGTTTGCTGCAGATTTAAGGGAGAAAAAAATATAACAGATCACTAGTACACATGTTCAATTTCCCTAGTATCTTTTTGTCTTGGTCATTCTCTACCCTTCTGACTAACTATTCATACTTTTTAGCTCAGTGTTTCAATGGTGGTATTTTCCAGAACTCTTTTCTCCCTCTATTTTCTCTCTGGAGAAACACCTCCACACTCATAGGGCTTCACTCACTACTGTATCCCTGATCATCCTGCGTTCATTACTGCAGAGTTCTCTTTTACACTTCACTTTTATCTTCATTTGCTTACTATTCAGCAAACATTTATAGAGCACATATGATGTGTAAGGCACTCTGCTAGGCGAAGGAGAAA